AAGAGACACGTATCTCATCGGTGACACCGATGCACAACGAAGGACTTCATGATGATCTCGCCATGTACCGCCATGGTACCGGGGTGTTTCTGCGCGCTCCAATCAACTCGCAGGACACGTACTATGTGATCATTCGATGAGAAGAATTGTCAACGCTAATACCTTCAATCTTCCCCTCTCAACGACAGTCCCGCGGCATTGGTAGCTGTCATAAGACGCGCATTCCCATGGTACCCGTACTTGCTAGCGAGAAACCGGGGCGGCGTTCTCAGCTATGTAGGTACACTTCGCCACAGCAATTCACCCCGCAAAACGTATATCCCAATCAAACCCCCCAACCCACCAAACCAGCCCTTGGCTCAGCTCGATTACCACCCATGTAACTGCACATCCGGTAACCTAAATTCTAGCCTCGCAGTACCATCGATCCACACAGCGGTGAGAAAGGCAAGTTTGTGGTGTGGCGGGGGGGTCCCCAGTCCGAATCAGGAAGTTGGTGTGTGGAGGTGTGGGTGAGAATTGCTTTTTCGCATCCTCTCGCCTCGGTCCCGTTTCTCAACGTTGGTACATGTTAGCGAGGGCATCCTGGGAAAATGGCTGGGCACGGGAATTGCGAGGCACATGGCGAAGTGTTGGTCCTTTCTCACCGCTGGTTTTGCGTGCGCGAGGCTCGTGACGCTGATGCAGCTTTCGTTGAGGGGGTGGGTGGTTGTGGGAGAGATGGGGATGCCCCGCGATTTTTTGAGATATGGCCGACTGTTGTTGCTGCTTCTCGTGTCTTCAGAATCCGCGGAGGGCTTCAAGATGGTCCGAAGATCCGAAGTGTACCTAGATATGCTAGCGCTTAACGAATGTGCCTGTTATGGAACGGGGCTGGGGGTCGGCTTCCCCGGGCGCATGATCATGACAGAATTGGGTGAGGAGCACATTCAGTTTCTTGAGATGTAGGCGGGAGACGTTTTCCTTTTACTGAGGCGCATATGCTTGGATGCAGTCTGTTCGTAACAAAGGTTCATCGCTATATGCGACTCTGCAACGCCATATAGTCCGAGAGTCACTGTATGCATTTTGTTATAATCTAGACTGTGAAGACTCTAGTCATATCTCTCCTCCGTCTGCGAATAGTAAACCTAAAACTAGTTGATTACGTGATACTCTCTAGCACTGTCGCCACCTTATTGGGAGAGAAACACTGTGGGTGCATCCATTGCTTCTCGTCTCCTATCTTCATTAAGTATAGAACCACAGTACTCATAGCTAATACCATCAATACTCAGGAATGTAGCTGCTCATACTCTCATCCAATTCCCTACATCTATGTTCCAATCTGCCCATCAGTGCCACTCATCATCTCCTCACACTCCATCTCCCCATCCACATCTCACTCCTCCATCCCCCAAACATCCCCAACCCTAAACCCCACTGGAAAAGGATCCGCATTATCCACCAAAACCTGCCTGTACCCCGTAATCCATGCCCTCCCCTTGACCCTCGGTAGAATCGCCTCGTGATCCCCAACTTTCGTCGTACCCAAAATACTACACTGAAACTGCGTTCCAACAATACTCCTATGAGTAAACCTCTGCCCAACCCCCAACAACCCCTTCGCATGCAACACCGCCATCCTCGCCGAAGTCCCCGTCCCACATGGACTCCTATCGAACCTGCCCGGGCTCACCACCACCGTATTAACACTCGCCAAACTGCCATCTTGCTCCTCCACCACCGGCCCCGTAAACTCAATCGCACTAACGCCCCTAATCTGCCCATTCGCCGGATGAACAGGCACATAAACCTGCTTTACCCTCTTAAAAATCCTCTGCCCCAATTCCACAAGCCGCCTCCCATGCCTATTCTCCACCCCAATCCCCGCCCCCAATTTCTCCGTATCCACAAGCACAAAATACATACCACCCCACGCAACATCCACCTCTACAACGCCCAAACCCTCGACATCAACCTTAAGCCCCAACTCCTGAACAAAAGCAGGAACATTACCAAACTCCACACTTCTCACCTTCCCCGCTTCACACTCCGCCCTCACCCTCACAACCCCCGCCGCCGTATCCAACACCACACTACTAACCGGCTCTCTCATCTCCAGCATCCCGCTCTCAAGCAGCACAGTGGTAACGCAAATAGTATTGCTCCCGCTCATAGGCGCATACTCGTCGCTCTCCAGGATGAGGAAACCGGCGTCGGCGGAGGGGTCGCAGGGGGCGAGCAGCAGGTTCATGCATTGCGAGACGCGGCCGAGTGGTTCTTGCATGAGGCGTTGCCGGTAGTGGTCCGCGTGGGTGAGGAAGTATTGTAGTTTGGCGTACATGGTGGGGAGGTGGACTGGGTCGGGGATGCCGGAGGTTATTACGTCGCCGATTTCGCCTTCGGCGTGGACGGTTGTTATGTGGATCATGGGGGAGGGGGGGTTGGGTGGTGGGGTGGGCATTTTGGTGGTGGAGGGTGATGGTGGAGGGTGAGGGTGTGTAGGGGAATGCTGGGGCTGGAGGAGGTGTTAGTATGTGTAGATATGTTGGATAGGGATGATGTGTATTTGTACCGACAGTTCAGTGGTTTGATATCGTTTCCTGTGTCTCTTCCTTGAATTCGATAAGTTGATAATGCTGTGTATCCAAACTCCACACAATCGGCGCCTGGAAGATGTCCTTCAACAGGTTAATATTCCGAGAAACTATCTATCTATCACTCCAGAGATAAACAGAGTCAGCGTGCTATCAAATCCTGTACACAACCCCTACAAATGTACTCGTAGGGCGTGCTGAGCACAGCCAAGTGCTAAGATGTATACCCCGCTTCCTACAACGAGGGGTCAAGCTTACCAACATGTCAAAGACGAACTGTGTTTATAAGCACATTACCACCAGCATCTCGGATCAGTGGATCTGAGCACTACATGTCGACAATATTACTATTACTATCCCAAGAGGCGACTCTTCTCCCTAAGTTCTATGAGTTACAAACAAGGGCTTTGCTCTGCAAAGCTGGACTGCTATACTCAAACTTTTGATGCAACGAACGCAAAGAATAGTATGTACACGCAGAAAGAGGTAGCTGATGACGATCGGCCTGCGATCGCACAAGCATATATACACCTTAACCGGACCCACATCGTAACGGCATCTCAATCTTCCTGACCTGCAATATCCTGCAGTCAGGAAGAACGTCTAGCGGAGCTTCTTCGTCTCAGAAGCATATGTGCGATCGTTCTCGTCACCCTCAACTTCTTCGACCATCTTATCGACGGCCTCAGCTTGCTTCTTCCACTCGCTCTGGCACATCTTGAGTTCCTTCTGGAAGAGCTCGTCGTTGGGCTTCCTGTAGCTTCCACCAAGACGGTCCCACAGCGTCGTGTATTGACCGTAGTTGTAGTTGAAGTATAGGTGGTGCATGGTATGGCAAGCAGCACCATTGATGATAGGCGAGTTGTGCGCGTATTCGCCGTCGTGGATCAGGACGGTCCAGATGTTGACGAAGACGAAGAGGAAGACGTATGCGAATTTCGAAAGCGGGAACAGGAAGGGGAAGATGTGGTAGGGAAGGCCCTGGGCGTAGCCGTCGGCGGGGTGGAACGCGTGCGAGGCGAAGGGCGTGGGCATGATCCACTTGTGGTGCGGCTTGTGGACGTGTCTGTAGACGCGTGGGTGGTGGAGACCGCGGTGAATCCAGTAGATGGCCGAGTCGGTGAAGAGAAAGAAGAGCGGGAACTGCAAGTAGTTGTACCAGAGCCCTGGGCCCTGGTCTACCGTGTCGTATAGCTTGGAGTAGCCGCGCACTTCGAGCAGGAACCAGGGCACGGTGAAGATGGCCATGATGGGGAAGGCGATGTTGGCCTGCTTCATTTCGAGCTTGATCTGGTTCTTGAGGTAGCGCGGGTGGTTGAAGGTGGACTTGTCGAAGACGAGGAAGTACGAGGCGCCGGCGAAGACGTAGTATACTAGGACACCAAAGAGCCTGGAGAGTTGTTAGAGGAGTATTGCACAGAAGGCTCGGGCAGCGCATACCATGTGATGAGGTACAAGGACACCGCCTGTCGCCGCCAGTCGTCGCGTGTCCATTGGCTCATGTAGGCATACTTGGAGGGCTCGACGGAGAAGAATTGCGTCGAGGGCTCATACTGCCAGGTCGCGTGCGGAAGAGCAAAGCCCGTGGGCTCCTCTCTAATGCTTGAAATAGTTGCATTGCCGGCGAAAGAGGGTGTGGAAATGGGGAGGAGGACCGCGTAGAGAGGGTCGAAGAGAAACGTGTCTGCTAGTTCGAGGACGACGTCCATGGCTGTTCAGGCTGGGGCGAGGGACGCCTCGGCGATCGGCGGATTCAGGTACGGAAGGCCTGCGATTCGTGATGTTTGAGGACCAACGGGCGCACACAATGCAGGTACACGTCACAACAAGAGACGGGCAAAATAAGAGCAATGCAAAGAGAGCAGAGTATCTAGGATAGAGTATAAACGAATGTGGGGAGGCGAATGCTCTCGTTCAAGTAGGTAGTAACAACGGCAACGCTTCCATTTATCGGCGATAAGTTTTCGGCGCCCCGAGTACAAGCGTCCCTGAGGGAAATGTCGCCAGGGTCCATGTTAACTGCTTTGGTTCCTCAACCGTCGACGTTGTGCCAATCAAGCGTCAAGACGGCCGACTAGAGACGCTCACGTGACTACGCATCACAATCTCGCGCGCCGGAATCGACGCATCCGCTGGTTCCGAGAGTGGACTGACAGCCCTACAGACGCTGCCCCTTATCAGATCTTCTCATCCGATCCTCGGAACATGCTCGGACGGTGACTGCACGGTTGACACGCCACTCTTGCGCTTACAAACCGTGATTGCGCGTTTTGTGGCGTGCATTTGTCTTGACTGGTAGTGAGAATCAGTTATTGGTGGCATGGGAGGTTTGGTTCTAGGCGGTCTCGGCAGACCCTCTTGTGAGTCGTATACAGCTGATGCTCATTCGTCTCTATGTCATACCAGGCCTCGACAACACAGTTACTTTGCCACAATGCTGACAACATCCTCATCGGCCACTACATGCCCTAAGCCCACCTTCTGCGGCACGTGCCTGGCACTTGCGCCCCAAACCAGCGCATGCTTGAACGTCTCCTTCAGTGTCCGATGAACTTGGTCGCAGACGTCTTCGATCGTGCTTCCGTGCCGTACAATGAGCGCCTCTGAGAAATCTGGGTCGTTGCCCTTCCTCTTTGTGTACACCCTGATCAACCTCAACTCTTCCCAACACCTGTCCACAACGTCTTGAATACCGAGATCGAGCTCACAGCTCATGACGACGGTGTGTGGCTCGCGTGCTAATTCGTCCAAGTGGGGGAGACCGATGCTATCGATCTTGTTGTACACGTAGAGACACTTGATGTATTTCCTGTGGTCCTTCATGATGACGTCGATGAAGTCGTCGACTGTTGCGTTTTCGTCTCGGACGAGGACTTCGCAGTTGAGCATCTTGTAGTCTTTGAGAATGTTGTAGACCATCTTCTCGTCGAGATGCTTGGGCGGGACCTGGAAGTTGATCTTCATGCCGCCAGCCTTCTTGGGCTTGAGATAGATATTTCTGTGTGTCGATGAGATTCTGCCATGCCGAGAAGAGTTGAAGTGAACTTACGGTGGCTCGCGGTTCAATCTGATACCCACAGCTTCCAACTCGGCTTCCAACAATCGCCTCTGTTCCGCCTTCTTCGTAGCATCAAGAATCATGCAGACAAGATCACTCGTCTTCGCAGCACTAATGACCTGTCTTCCTCGTCCCTTGCCCTCCGCAGCGCCCTCAATGATACCCGGTAAATCCAAGACCTGAATCTCAGCACCACCATACTCAAGCACACCAGGAATCGCCGTAAGCGTGGTGAAGGCGTAGGATGCGGCTTCTGATTTTGTCTTTGTGACTCTGGAGAGGAAGGTCGACTTTCCTACCGAGGGGAAGCCAACGAGTGCAATACGCGCATCTCCGGATTTCGATACATCGAATCCTTGTCCTCCACCGGAACCTGCACCTGCAGCGGGTTCGAGGAGTTGTGCGCGGAGACGGGCAAGTTTTCTGTAGCATGGTTAGCATACAGAGACTATATATAGGAGTATAGATAGTGTACCCTTTCAGTAGACCAAGATGATATTCTGTACTTGAATGTCAGCACGTGATACACAGTGCATCCAGTATCGATGCAATCAAATCCGCTTGTACATACCCGTAGCCTTATTCTCTGCATCTCGTTAGCGCAAATACCATCAAAAAAGCACTATCCCACTCACTCTGCGTCCTCCTCATCTCATCCTCAATCCTGGCGGGGCGTTAGCGCAAGGCCACATCAAAACTTCGGCGCTATCCCACTCTTTGATCTTCTCCGTAATATTCACCATCTTGACGATTTACTTCGCACTCTTCGCACTCGGATAGAGAGGGACTGGGGTGAGGATGAACGGTAATCGCACTTTGTGGCGGGCTGCAGTCCGGCAATATCACGATGGTAAAGGTTTGGTGTTGCATGCGCCCGCAGCCCAGCGCCATTGCTCTTCGGGCCTAGCGCGTGAGCTAGCGAAGGCAAGATGCAGTGCGTCATCTGAAAGGCCATGAGCTTTTGCGCCACGCTGGTTTGTTTTGTGGTTTCTAGTGCTTAGTCTTGTTGCTTTCTTTCCTATGTTGTGAGTTTCTTACTTCTGTACTGCTTCTCGTTCCGACTTGGAAGCATGTTGTTTAAATCCGAGGATCCTTGGCCGCGTTCGCACCACGACTTATTAGATCACTACCACGCTCAATACGATAAAGCTATCGCATCTGGGGAGTACCAACCTTTCTTGTATCCATGGGGGACGCTTGGTGCACTTTTTGTCATCTTATATCTTCTCATCCCGCATCAGCATCGGCCGTGGCTTGAGAAAGGACGATACTTGGCATTTGCATGGATTGCCGGATTTGCAACTTACAGTAACTTATACACAAAGGCGAGGGCGGTAGCACCAGCTTTGGGTATCGGTCTGGTCAATGCATGGAGTATAGCATGGGTTGGCGCGATCATAGTGTGCAACGATGCACAGACAGATTTCATGAGGATTGAAAGGACCGGGGGCGTTTTTGGCTCGGATCCAGACCAGCGGAAAGAGAAGACACAACACAACGGAGGTGCAGAAGCCAAAGAAGCGATCAAGAATCAGACCTTAGAAGACGACCTCGTCAACAGCACCTCCGGGCCCCGAGACCGCCACGGCCAATACGCATGGCAACCCTACCCCCTCCGCCCCTTCATCGAGCGCCTAGACTGGGTACTGGACATATTCTGCAACTTCCGGGGCATGGGCTGGAACTGGCGTACCACCGCCCTCCCCCCACCCCCCAAACCCATCCAGATCCAACTCGACGCCAACTCCAAATCCACCGTTCCAAAGCACACCTACAAAACCCACGCGGGCCAAGTAGCACAATTCACAAACCGGCGCTCCCTCCTCCGGCAAAACACCTGGCGCCTACTCAAAGGCTACCTAGTCCTCGACCTGCTAAAGACAACAATGATGTGGGATCCCTATTTCTGGGGCTTGACAAACAGAGCACCACCACCACCAGCCCACCTCCCCTCGTGGCTCACAAACAGCCCCGTACTAACACACACATACCACCTCCTCCTCAGCATGCTCGCCGTAAAATACGCCCTCCAAACCATCTTCGCCCTCGGCCCCCTCTTCTTCAGCGGCGCCCTCTCCCCCTCCCTCCTCGGCGCCCGCGCAGAACCCTGGATGTATCCTGAGACGTGGGCGCCGTACAGCGTTGTCTTGGATAAAGGGCTCGCGGGGTGGTGGGGCAGTTGGTGGCATCAGACTTTTCGGTTTGCGTTCCAGGAACCTAGTCGCAAGGTTATTGAGGGGTTGGGGTGGGATAAGAGAGGTGTGGCCGCGAAGGCGTTGCAGCTTTTTGTGGCGTTCTTTCTGAGTGGCGTTGTGCATGGCAGTGGGAGTTTTACTGCGACTGGCGAGACGAGACCGGTGAGGGGGCCCATGGCGTTTTTCTTGCTGCAGGCTGTGGGGATTTTTGTTGAAGCTGGGGTGACGCGGGCTGCGAATGGGGCTGGTCTCGGAGGGACTCTGCCTAGTTGGCTGAAGCGGGGATGGACGTTCGTGTACGTTCATGTTTGGTTTTATTACACGGCTCATCTTCTTTGTGACGACTTTGCTCAAGCGGGCGTTTGGCTCTTCGAGCCCATTCCTATCTCCCTGTTCCGCGGACTGGGATTCGGGCCTGATGCAAGAGATGGGTGGTGGTGCTGGGGCGGACAGCTCGTACGATGGCATCGTGGCGATACGTGGTGGACGACTGGTATTGCGTTTTAGAAGCTTCTACCGTCTCCTACTTGTAAGTCAATTGTTATGTAGCGTCTAGTAGATTCCCTACGTACAGCACTGTAGATCGAACGATAGACTCGGAAGGAATAAGACACAACGTTCAAACCCATAGTCCTATTTTCCATCAGAGAGAAGGATCCTCCGTTTTCACTTCCTCAGTCACTGCGAAAGACCGGTTGCCTTGCATTGCGCTACGTGTCCAACCAACACCCGTTTTCTCCATTTCACAGCTCACTCCCACCTGTTAGCACACGTACCTCTTACCAGTCGCGAATACGCCCACGCTTCCACATCCTCTCTACCACCAAAATCTCCCCTACACAAAAAGCCGAACATCTTCCACAAGCAAATCCAACGTCCCTCCACTCTCCACTCCCCAGTTCGAAGAACAGCTAGCTAATGGATCCCGCCCCCTCAGCCACAGAGCTCATATTCAACCTAACATGGCGCTACCTCTCCCACGCCGCCGTCCCCGCCATGCTCCCCTCCAATGCTCTCGACGCCAACGGCCTCATCCCACGGTCGTTTTGTCCAGATGTGTATGACGGGGTGAGGAAGACGGTGGGGGAGATGAGGGAGGAGGGGCAGTGGGCGGTTTGGTATTGGGTTGTTGGGCCTGGAGATGAGGGGGGAGATGGGGATGTGGAGAGGGATGGAGATGGGGAGAGGGGGAGGGAGAGGGATGACGGGAGGGACAGAGTAGGATGGCATCCGTGTTTTAGGTTGCCGGCGAATCGGTGAGTGTGGGGTTTTTGAATGTTTGGATATTTTGACGGGGTTTTGTAGGGGGAGGTGGTTGGAGTTGAGTGGTTTGGTGGTGGTTGTCTGACTGGTCGATTAGGAACTGACAACTGACATTGAATAGGCGCGTGGTTACACGTAACGTCCTCACCTCTCCCACCTCCCTCCCCCATAGCAACCTTTCCACCAATACCAACACCATCCCATCACCCGCAGGTCCTCCTCCATCCCGCCGCCGCTCAATATCCTCTTCTTCCTACTTATCCACGAACCCGGACCATCACGTTTCGAACATCCTCCCTAACCCCATCGCCAATCCACGCAGCACCCACAGCCGCCGATCAAGCGCCGACACAACGCGTCGAATGAGTTCCGTTCGTGAGGAAAGCAAGAGCGAGGAGAGTAGTCTCACTGGCGTAGAGGCGGCGAGTGAGAGTGTGAGTGAGAGGATAAGGAAGAGTACGAGTTTACATGTTAGGCCGGGGATGGTTAGGAAGTGAGGTGTGAGGGAGGAGAGCGTGTACTAGATGGCTGGGTTGCGGGGAGTCCATGGGTAGGATACCAGAGAAGTCGTAATGAAAGTCTGCCTATGTAGTGAGTTTGCGAGATTTCTGTCTGATAGTTTGACTGAACAAGTCTGTTGTAGAGATACGGAACCAGCATCCCACTCCCAACATTGTACTCGCCTTCTCATCGCACTGAATCTGTCGCTTCTCCCATGACCAACATTCAACACATCAACAAACCCGCTCACCATTCCCCACCATCCTTCCTCCGTGTAGGAAAAACATCGGCTTACACTCCCAGTCAACCCTGTCCCTTCCCAGTCACCCGCCTGCATGACAGCATCCTGGCCGTCTATGCGTTTCCCTCCGTATGACGCGTTTCCCTCCCCAAGTCTGAGGTCGACATGACTTATCTCAAAGTTTACACAATGTGCGTATTCCGTATCGAGACACACAACGGCATTACCGAGATGAAGGGCGTTCATGCAGGACCATTGTCAGTCGCAAGGCTGAAGCGAGATGTCGAGTCAGTTGTTCCTTGCAACAACACCAAGACGGAAAAACCGTCAGCCCTCAGGCATTTGTAATACCGCCGAGTAGGTCTCAACAGAAGGATAGTGTAACGTGAATAGATGGAATGGTAATAATAAATATAGTACATACACGCGCCACACTCTATAGCACATGGCACAAGGCCCAGTCCAGCCCGGTCCGTCTAGCCACACACACCTACACAGCCCGACCAAACCAAACCGAACAAACAAAAGACCGCAGCGCACCGACAACAGCGCATCTCGCAGCAGGGTATCGGAAAGAAATTCGGAAGAAAACGATCGCGGAAAAAACAAGCACGATCTCAACGACCATGAACAAAAAGACCCGAGATGCGATGCGATGCAATGAGGAAGAAAAAAGAAACATTATGACTTTGTATGTGAGGGTTGTGCGTCGCCGCAGATATTGTGTAGTAGGTCGTGACAGCTCTTACAACAAGAAAAGTAGAAAAAAGAAAGGGCACCGGAATGCCCAGCCCACCCAATCAAGCAGACCCAAGAATCAAGACTGACTGACACCATCAAACTCCTCAAACGACCAATGCAAATGATGTCGATATGCCGCTAAACCGCGTGAATCGTTCCTTTTTGGCTTTTGAACTGTGTCTCTCCTCGTATGTCTTTGTATTGTGTTGTACGTATGGTATGGTGTGGTATTATGACTGCGCTTCGATGATGGTGGGTTGCGAATTAACCTGCAGAGTAGGCGTAATGGGGTATGGTAGATATTGCTCGTGCTGCTGCTGGTGTGAAGCTTCGGTGGGGTGATTATCTTCTTGCGTGTGCGGCCGTGTGCCTGTGTCGGGGCCGAGATGGGGATCTGGTATTTGGACGTCGAGCTGTGGAAAGTTAGTTAAATGTGGTTTAATTGAATGTGTCTTGGTATACGCACTGTCAGGTATCCAGTCCGCCGTAGTGGGATTATGCGGACTGCTTCTTTGGACCCGATGTCGCGGTTCCAGTCTTCGATCCAGCGCTCGAGGTCGGCGAGTTGCTTTTTTACGCCGGTGAAGCCTGCATCCTCCCAGAGCCAGAAGGTCGCGATACCGAGGACGGTGTCGAGGCAGGCGCGGAAGGTGAATGGGTCAAAGGCGTCGACGAGGGTATCATTAATCTTCTTGATGAGTATCCGGAAGTCGTCTTCGGTTACGAGGGGGTCCAGGATCTCGGGGTAGAGATTGGCAAACGTCGGCGCCAGGTCGCCCTTCATCATCCAGTCGCGCTTTATGCGGATAATGCGCGTCGTGTTGTACAGCTCGGAGTCGAGTGGCACATGCGGGTTGGGATGGGGAAAGCAGGGATGCGAAGGGCCCCAGGGAAACTCGGACACGGCGTCGGCGTCGTCGTCAGCTGCAGACCCTGATCGTCTCGAGTGCAGCGAGGTGCGTCCGGAGCCGGGTAGGGAGACGCGCGACAGGCCGGCGGGCTGGTGGTTGCGGCCGGCTTCGATGTCTTTGTCGGCATGGGGCGCGGGCGAGACACTGTCCCTGGGGTTGGCGGCAGAGGCCATGACGAGGCCTGGCGTGGGCGGCTGGGTGGGCGGCTGGCTCCTGCGATCACGCGGAAGGGCGATGCTGGTGCGACCGCTGATGCTGTCCTCGCCCGTGGAACGTTGGACTGCGAGGGAGCTCGGCGCAGGGCTCTGGCGACTCAGGCGGCGCTCGGGAAGCGAGAGCAGCGGGTACTCGTCGCGGCCGTCCTCCCTGGCTTGCGTCTCAAAGTCGCGCTCAATGGGGAGATTGGGGTAGTGGTCGTCGCGGCGCGGGGGCAGGGCCTGGGGCGCAGGCGGCGGGTTCTGGATCTGGAGGGTGCGCGGCGACGAGTTGACGGGGTTCCAGAGACGCGAGGCGGGCTGGCGCGGCGGGCCCTGGTACAGCGCGCGCAGGTTGAGGTTGAAGATGCGGTTGGTCAGCGACCAGCGGGCAGGCACTGGCGACGCAGCAGGCGGCGGGTAAGCAGCGGAGGGCGGGCGTGGAGTCGTCGTCGTGCCGGTGGTGAATGGGCGGTGCTGGGTGGTGGTGAATTCCTTAGGGGTCCCAAGGGCAAGTGGTCCATGCTCACTGCAGCATTGCCTGCCGACAAGACCAAGTTTGCCGTGGGTGCTGTACTGTTAGGAAAGAAGGAGCGGACAGCGGGGAATCAGGTGTGGTGAATGAGTGCGCTGTACTGTTATGGCAGGATGTCGTCGTGTCGTGGTCGCCGTGGTCAGTGTCGCAGTGTTGGTGTCAACGTCTCACACGGCGGGTTTGGCAATAGCAGAGACAGAAACGGGCCATGGGGATAAACTTTGTCGCATGCAGCAAAAGGAGCACTCCAGGGCAGCACCGGGTCGAGGAGAGGGTGCTTCCTTCTTCTTGTACACGACACGAGACGTCCGCCTCGTCCGGCGCAACTTGGGCACCTCCCAGACCAGGCTCATGAAAAAGCGCCTGCCTCGATGGCTTGTGCAGGCTGATGACTGCCTGCCGCATCACGCTGACCCCTGCCCCTTCACCTATTCCTAGGCACTGTGCCTGCATTAGCCTGAACAATCCTAACCATCCCTAACATTCCCATCCGACTGATGTCAATCTTAAGCATACTCGACATGCATTCCCTCCCATACGGTAATACGTTGGCGGGCACACCCACGCCTGCCGTCACCGTTGACATCCGCCGTCCGCCTCCGCTGTCGCTCACATGACCCTGACCCGGACCATGACGTTGGCGCACGCCTCGAGTACACCAGCCCAGCCCTGTTTCACAACACAAATCAATGTCGTCTAGCAGAACTACTCTTCCGCCACGATCCTCCTAACACACTCCATTCATCGACTAACCCGCTCAATCGCCATCGTCATCGTCATAGTCTTTGCCTTCGTTGCTGACAATTGCATGACTGTATGCCCGTCTCCATCACACCCCCAGTCACCCCTCTCAATGCTAACCCTCCATCTATCTCACACGGTCACACCCATGAGTAGCAAATCCCTTCCACCAATTACTCACACATCAGCCACATCCCCGGCAAGCCCTGTCAGCTCTTTACCCAGAACCGCGTCGTCGGGATTCCGCGCACTTGCTCTCATCTGAACAGCGTTCGTCCGTGTGTAGGACGCTCCATCCACTTTGACCCCTTTTCTGGCGTTTACTTCCGATGCTAGTCTGTATATGATGTCAGCCGCCTTGTCTGTGCAGTGGCGATGCGGTACGAGTCTGGCTGTTTGCAGCTTGCCGGGTGGGTGGAGGAACAGTGCCATAGGTAGCATCGTGGGTCGTCTGGCTGCGGCGTAGTGTCGTAATAGTTCATCTTGTCTCCAGCCTCACTTTTCCCGTTATCCAGGATCGTCGCCGTGTATACATGTAGACGGCGACTATACCTCTCAAATCCCGGGTATAGTACTACTATGATAATTCACATCCTATTACTGCCGATCTACAAAGCACACACTGATCATTTCACGAATGGAGTCGCTATGCCGGTTCATATACTCTCGTATTGCTATAACCGCAGAATAGTATATAAGTAAAATATCAACGCAAATATCCCGCCCTCATGTAATGGTATATCCTTCGCGTTGTTCATCGATATGCCAGTCCCAATCCAACCCTTATCGTGACCTGACCGAACCTGACCTGACCAAACCGCTCGCAGAGCTCAAAGGCTCTTGCAACAACTATATAACTACCTACTGACAAAACCGAAAGACGTCATTGTTTGTAAGGGGCCCGCCGACTCTCACCCACGGCATCGTATCGTGATCCAAAGAAAGGAAAAGTAAGGAAATATCCACAGCTAAGTGTGTCGGTTGGCATTCGCCTGCATCTTCCTCATCGCCTCGCGGTGTGCATCTATCATCTGGCCGCTGCGCATCATGCTGTCCATTTGGCTAGCACGCTGCTGTTGCATCATATCGCGCTGTTGCTTCTCCAGCTCCTTTTGGCGTCGCTCCATTAATAGCGCTGCGCGCTGCTGTTCAACGACGTGGGCGGCGGTCTGCTGCGGGGGCGCAATGTCGCGCATCGTGTCGCGCCATCCGGCGTAGAGTTGTTCGCGCTTCTGCTCGGACTGCGCGCTGGAGGAGCGCTTGGGTTGGTGCGAGTCGAAACCTGTGGGGGCGCCTTTGGCGGCCCAGGCTTTGTTCTGCCACTTCTGTGAGGTTGAGGGGGGTGTTCGGCCGGGGGAGCGGAGGGAGGGCTGATGGGAAAGGGAGGGCGATAATTGTTGCTGCTGGAGGAGTTGGCGGCGCTGGGCTAGTGTCATGTCTTCATCGTCGCCACGTTGGGAGAGGTTGGGCGAAGACATTTGGGGGATGAGTGTTAGAGCTGAGGCTCGGTTTTTGATGAGACCCTCGCGCTTGCTCAGCAGGGTGTTGCTAGGGAGGGGCGAGAGAGTGTCGAGTCTGACGGCGGAGTTGGATCGGGAGAGGACCTGGGGAGAAGCAATGGAAGGTGAGTGGGTCAATGATCGCTGGTTGACGAGTGATTCCTGAGAAAAAGTCGAGGTGTTGCGTCGTAGTCCCTGGCTGCTGTTCCGTTGCGTCCTGCTGCCAGTCGACATCCTTCTTGATTCGCGCTTGCTCTCGTAGAGAAGCTCATCACTGACAGGTGTGGCCTTCTCTTCCGATCCGTCCGCTAGCATGACACCGGGTGACGAGGGCAGAAACATGTCTTCGTAGTCTGGCTTCTCAGCAGTCTCAAGATGCTTCGCCCATTCATTCGTACGGTAGGATAGGGCGATTTTCGACAGCTTCTCCGGCATCACGTTCTCAGTTGGACTGCCAACCTGTGATCCACCTTGTTCCAATTGTGAGCCTTGGGACAGTTCATCAGACTTCGTAGATTTGGAATATTTTTCGCTGCTGGCCTTGGAGCTGGACATGACCGTGTCAGCCCTTCGTTCGAATGACTGTTCCTTGGGCGAGTCTGCCGTCTTTGGGTCGGTACTAGTCGTGAGAGATTTCACTACGTCTACCGTGTTCACTACGCTCTTCCGGTCGGGTACAGTGTCAGAATCTTGTCTTTTGAGTCCAGGCTTCTCGAATGGGTTGTCGTGCTCGGTTCCGATGGGTGATTCGACTGGGGATAGACTACGAACGGACAGGACATCGAGGTCATCGTTCAGAGTGGCGGCAATAGACGAAGCACGGTCGTCTTCATCACCTCGCGTTCCGATCAAAGCCTCTTGTGAAGCTGCGATGTCCCTGGAGATACGTTGCCTCATTGCTGAGACGTCAGAAACGCGCTTCGAAAGGCGCCCGGGTACCTCGACGTCATGATCAGTCTCGGGGATAGCAGACACAGATGTATTGTCGTTGTCGCTGTGCGCTTCCTCCTCGGTGGGGACTTTGAATGGAAGTGGGACGACTGCTGGAGGTGGTGGCGGAGCTGTAGGGCGTAGACTGTTGCTTTTTACTAGAGTAGGCTTTGAGTCGTCCTTTGGAGCCTTCAGAAGAGCCTTTTCGTTCTCAGCAGCGTGGGCTTCGGGTTCGATTTGTTGAATGGCATCGTCGTCGAGAACACCAACGGTGACGGTCGCGCCGGACTTGGTGTTGTTACTGGCAGATTGCATCATCCCAGCTGGCATGTTGACTGTTACCGCGCTGTCGTTGGGAGAGACCTCCTTCTCTTGGACAAGGGTAAGATCTTTGGGATCTGAAGTGGAAGATCGGATGCTGGCCTCGGGTACGTTCTGTCCGTTACCGTATGCGGCTTCCCATTGAGCACGTTCTTTCTGGAAGTTGTCCTCGACAATGCGACCTTGTTCCTCCTCTTCGCGGTCCTGATCCGCCTGTCTTTCGAGTTGCTGAGCAGCGGTCTTTACACGATGCTCTTTGACCATCTTCCAAACGCGCATCTGGGAGACGATACTGACTACTGCAATGATGACAACACCGGCCAGTTCGGCTTTGATGTTCTTCGTGACCGGATAAGTATCAGTGTTAAGAGGGAAGATGTCATCGTTGAGGTCTGCGGAGGTCAGTAACAGTCTGCGAACCACGTACGGCAACTTACTCCAGAGGTAAAGCCAGAATTCCTTCCAGCCAGAGCCAGCCAGACAGTCAATACCGAGGATGGCAGCGGTGGCTCCGGAGAAGGCGATTGAGGCGATGAGACCGTAGTTACGTGTATAGTGACTGAAAGCAAGCGAATAGCCTCCAGCTGACATGCAACCAATAAAGATGGCACGGCCAGTTCCTGAAGTGATCAGGCCACCGTCCTTGACGCTGAGGAACCACATGCTTAGGCAGAAGCCACCGAGTAGGCAGCCAAAACCTTCGGTGATGTCTGCAAAGACTAATGACAGGACACCGAAGATCACTCCAGTGAAGAAGGCCGCCACGAAGAAGGCTCCCTGGATGGCATCCGAGACGGGAGGGTTCATCAAGTATACTATCAAAACAGTGACGGCGAGAGCGGTGAGGTAGGCAGCTGAACCGAACACGTATACCCTTCTCTTTGTCAGCATAGGTTGGTAGATGGATGTCAATGTACATACCACTTGTTCTTGATACCAATGATGGCATATCCTAATCCACTAAGTAGCAATAGCACTCCAGTGACGCCCATAGCGGGGGTCAGCTTGGGGTGAATTGGCAGTGGGTTTTTTGGATCCGCGGAGGCACTCTCTGGATTACAGCATTAGCTACATCTCACGATACTTGTCACCATGTAACTTACCAGAAGACTCTGCTGGAGTAGCATCATCAGATGGAGTCGTAGTGGGAACATCATTGATAGAGCTCGGTGCTGGTGTCTCTGATGGCTTGACTGAAGAAACTGGTGTCGATGAAGCGCGTTCAGACTCAATGCTCGAAGAGATTATTTCCGATGGAGTGGGTGTGGCAGAAGGCTGTCGAGACGCACTGTCCTGAGCCTCACGCGTTGACTCCGCGGAAGCACTGTCATCCTGTCTACGGACAGCAGCATGAGGAGCTGCCACCGCAAATTGAAGGCATAGAACAAGTGCAAGACAGAGAACCAAGTAGTGACCAGAAAAGCGCATGGCGATTATGCGGTGTGGACGTGTCTAGCACAAAGCGACAAAGGCCATGGAGAAATTACGATTAGAGTTGGAATTCGCGATGAACGGTCCCTCCGAGGATACTCGAAGAGGAAAGCGCGACCTCCTGATATGCAGCAAGGTGGTGTCTGCAACAATGACGCACGAGTAGAGAGTGACGAAAGAGCAAAAACCGTGGTGGTAAGGACTGTTTCAAAGAGCGAGATCGGATTACTAGTAGTAAAAAGAGCGAATGAAGGAGTGTGGTAGGCACAAACGGCCAATACGCGAATGCAGGATATGCAAGTGATGCAGACAAGATGCAGAAAGCAGGTAAACGGAAGGTGGAGGCGCACTTGGGCATATATCAGACGAGAGAAAGCCACATGGGTGAGCGCCAGCATAGCCTAAACAGGAGATCGACGCCTCCTCCCGCAGGTTGCAAAAAGCGAGAGGCTTAGCGAGCACGGCCCTGTTCCTGCAATGAAGGAAAAAAGCAGAGCCCAGGAGCCCATCGAGCTCGGCGGCGTCAGAAACGGCGGCTCCTTTAGGGATAACCCATACTGCAACGGGTGTGGTGTGGTCCTTGGAAGAGTTGAAATTAAGATTGCAATGGCAGCCACCAGCCATTCTAACGTTTTCGCGAGCAACGCCTCCAGGTGCTTTAGGGCAAAACAAGTATAGTTCAGTAGCCTATATTCCTCATCTAGTATTGACACTTGAGAGCGGAGTTCGGACGTTACCCGGTGCCAGACAGCCGTACCAGACATGCGATGAGGCGTTTGAGGCTGCCGAGTGCCGTCCGTCGATAATGCCATGGGGCGCGCGCTGCGGGTTCCCAGCGAGCTGCACGCACATATGCGAGATGAGTTGGTGATTACGTTCGCCAAGCAGGCACATGGCGGCTGTCATCCAGTGAGATGTTGATGAAGGAGAACGCGTCGTGAGCTGAGGTGCAGCCATTCGTAGGTAGGGCTGCCAACTCCGTAGGCAGGGGTCTCGCTACGTGCCCATGCATAAGCTGCCGCAGCGTGCATAAAGACCCTCCGCAAGGGCGCTCCTCACATAACAACGTGCAGCCCAGTGAGCCTCAGCCCGTAGTCCGCCCGCAAGGTTCAAGCCTCCAACTATCGTTATCTGTAAGATCTTTCATTTTTTTTTTCCAGCTCCCCGAGGCGCAGAGATACGTAGTCTGGATCGAAGCAAAAGTTCAACATCGCGTTACCCGAAAGGGAGCGATGATGTGACTGGCACGGCATCTCCTGTAACCGATGCTCATCAGATCTGCAAGCAGCCGTGCGCGTTGCCGACGATCCAGTTCTGAGCGAACCTCCGCGTGGGAATCACTTCCGTGCTTCCTGACGTTAGCACTAGCGATTCGAGCTATCGGCTTACCTCCTGTCACTAGTTTCACGACACCTTCAGACAGTTCTCACAGCTGCAATTCTTCAAAGTCACAGATTTGACGTTTATCGGCTCGCGCCTCATTGTCGAGGCATCGCACCGTCATCTGTTTCACATAGGTCGTTGCACAGATCCTACTCGGAGTTTTAGCATGGTAGCCTGGAGGTCTGCACGTGGTTCCAAAACTATAGTGGGTCCCGTAAGATTGGCAATACATGCAAAAAGCTTCCAGGTTGAGGCGCAGGCACCTCCGCGAGTTACAAGATCCAGCTTCGATGTCCATCTTCCAATACGCACAACTAGGTTTTGACAAGAAAGGAGTGATGGACACGGTAGCATGCAGATTCGGGGTAGTGGGAACGTATCGATGCTGGATGCGCGGTGGAAGTCGACGCTATCAATGTACAACACATCGCATCTCATCGTTTATTCCTGGTTCAGATCGATCGAACATGCAAACGGCTTCAGAATACCGTTTTAACCGAAGGCTCCTACCAACTTGCCAGCTGTAGCGAGCTGCGCATACAGTACGTGCTCAACGGTGTGTTCATCCGTCCACCAGACAACAGCTGTCAACTGCTCCGAATCCCGCTGCCACACCGCCCTCCTCGCTCTGATCACCTTTGGTGCGGAGTAGATATCCAGCCTCCCAGTTCTCCAAGATCTCGCCCTTGTTTCCATCTCCATTCCCGTCTCTCCAGAGACACACGCCGTACACTCCAAGCTCGCAAATCACGCCACCCCTCTGCAACTCACCGTTCCGGAGAATGGCGTTTGTCAGTGGAGGTGGCTCAATCATCTCCATTAGGATGTATGCCGGCCAATGAGTCTCGGGCAGCTTCTGCAGAAATGGTGGAATGGCTTTCCGGTAAATGTTGTTTCCTCCTCCTTCTCGCTGAGGTTTCAGCACATACTTTGTGGCCGAAGAGGCGTCTGTCGCAAGCTTCTTCGCTTCCTCGCCAGCCTCGCTGTTGTCGAGCGGGTAGATTGGCGCAAAGGTCTCCAGTACGCGCGTGGCGACCTTTTCGTCGGGTAGGAAGCGCTTGAGGTGCGGTGAATGCGGCGTAGCAAGCACTTGTTGAACCTTCTTGCATCCCGCAAGCTGGGTCAAGACGCTTGGGCACTTGATGGCACGGCTCTTCTCGAGATGAGTGCGGGCGTTCCAGTCTTCGTCCTTTGAGTAATCATCTGGTGAGTACCCTGCTCGAAAGTAAATCGTCGTCACCTCGTACGACGTCGAGGGAGAGTTTGGTGGTGTGTAGACCAGTGTACGGTCTGTGTCGAGCTGAGTGTGAGACAGTGTCTCTCCGAAAGGTAGTCGGAAGGAGCGCACCCCATTATCTTCGAGCAGGGCGTATTCGAGATGTCTCTGATCAAACACATTTCTCTCTGGGTCCTGTACCACGAACAGCACGCATAGGGGACGCTTGGTGCGCGAAGTCCCGTACGCCTTGTGTGCTGTAGCGAGGCCCTTCGCCAAGGAAGAAGCTGACTGGCTCTGTCGCAAAGCCTCTTGCTTGATAATGGATGAAGTTGAATCTGGGTAAGCGTCGATCGTGAGCAGGTACTTGTGTAACGCAGAAACTTGAGCCGATAGTCCACCAAAAGACGAAGCAATGGTATTGAACTCGACCTGTTTCAAACCGGACTTTGGATTTGACTGCGAAGGGTCTTGATGTACCATGTAGTCTGAGCGGAAGAGTCCCAACGAGAGGTCCTGCACGTAGCCTTCTTTCTTAACCTCTAGATGGGTTTGCCATAACTTTGCAACAAAGTCGTCAACATGGACAAGCTCCTCCACAATGCTCTTCAACCATGTTTCGTCCCTGGCAATGGCTGAGTACAACTCGTTGTAAGCCTGTTGTATTGAAAGCCCCTCTTCGAAGCAGGATCGTGGGAATAAGCTTGGAAATAAGGTGACTGGTGCTGTGCTTGCGAGTACACCAGACGGATCCTGTGATGGCTGGACGAATGACGGAGCCGGGCGAACCGCTAAGCCATGAGCAATCGACCAGTCCTTGAGATTGGATAGCAGGTACTGCTCCTCCTCTTGAGATAGCTCTGGTGGGTATTCGGTGAGCGACATTGAATTTATGGTGGCTGAGTTGTTTCGGTGTCGTTGAAAGAGTAGATCGCTCAGGTAAGAGAGAGACTTACAAATGCTGTCGGCGCTAGAGCGATTGCCTCATCCTGCCCCGCCGAGGCCCGAAGCGCACCAAAGGACCCTGATCGCGCATTTCAAAGCACACATTTGGCGGCTTTTCGACGTGACAGCAATCATTGCTAACAATCTTCACCGTCAAATGTGATGGCCTTGGTGATGCTTGCCCCTCGTCGCGTGATCAAGTGACCGCGCGCACTTGCCTAGACAGGTGCCCCACCTTCTACGCGGCGCCCAATCCGCGATTGCTGTACCAAACATCTCGCATCTCTCGCCATCACCAAACATCAAACACGGCAGCCACCGGGCGATCACATCGAGCGCTATCAAACATGGACGACTTTGCTCATCTACTCAGATGGCAGAACGTGGCTGGAGGTGACCAGATCATAGACTTGCCTGACGAGGATGACCTACAAGAGGATGATAATTATGGGCTGGGGGATGCTGCTGAAGAGGATTCTCGATCAGTCGATAATGAGGATGAGGACGCAGTTGAAGAACCGAACAAGCGGACCAAGTTGAGTGAGGACAAGATTGTCGACATTATCAACGAGCGAATTAAGTTCTTCACAAACGCCTGGAGACCAAACAAGGGTGTTGCTCGCGGCGAGGAGGTGGACTACGACCCAGTCGCTATGTGGATTGAAGCGGAGGCTAAAGGAGAGCGAGAAGCCCTGGCGAAAAGGTACGAGACAGAGCATCTCTACTATAAGTCAAGACTGGATGAATTGTGCGACCAGATCGTCAAATTCCCAGGAAGCAATGCGGTAAGCAATAATGCCCTGGCTGTATAGATGACGTCTTCACTAACGGTGATATTTCGCAGGAGCAAGTACGGCGACAATGTAGCAACCTCGAGGTCACGGTCGACTCCATGGAATTTGCAGCCTGGTTACGCGACATCTACAAGCTGGAACCGGTTGACGACAGTGATGAAGAGCAAGTACCCGACGATCAAGACACCGCGATGCACGACCAACCGGATATACCACGGACTGC